CCCGCTCCGCGACGTGGCTCCGCCCGCGGGGCGCCCGCGCTGAGCTGGTGGCCGCCGCCGTGGAGGCGCCGGGCTCACCTGCACTTCGGTCTCCGGCGGCCACTCGGTGTTGACCAACAAGTCGTAGAGGATCGTCTCCTCCTCGGCCTCTGCGGCGCCGGGACTCGAAGCCGGTCCTGACCTGGAGGCCGCCATGTTGGCCCCAGACTGAGCGGCGTAGGCGCGGGAGGCGCGGGGGAGCGTCGCCCGCCACGTCGCTACGACATCCCAGGCGGGACACGCTTCCCCGACGCGGCCGCTGTTGATTGGTCTAGACACTGCGAAAGGCGGGGTGAGAAGGAGAGGGACGGAGGCTCATTGGAGGATTGGCTCATTGGAGGTTTGGTCCTGGGCGTGGTTCTGAAGCTCTCGACCCGGAGCCTCGGGTCACTGGACCTTCAGCTGTTACCATACAGAAGTGGGAAAAATACCAAATGAGTTTCTGGATTTCCTTTAGTCTTCTTTGCCTCACACAGCGAATGTCCAAATAATGGCCTTTAAATGAATGATCAACAGTTAAGCTAGTGACAGGTAGCTCAGGAGAGATGCTACAGGGCAACAGAAACGGCCATCAGGGCCAGAGAGTGCAAAACTTCCTGCAACTAGGTAGTTTAATCTTAGGTTCCTGGTTTGCTCGATTTGGCTTGGTAGTGTGGTTTGGTTTGACTTTTGGTTGGGTTTGGGTTTGGTTTGGTTTTTTGGTTTAGTGACAGTCTCAAATACGCAGTCCTGGCAGGTCTGGCACCAGCCTCCGCCTCTGCCTCCCAAATGCTGAGATAACAACCCCTAGCCTCCAAACCTGGCACTGGATTTTAACTCATGGTAGAATTTGAACACAATGGAGAAGGTCTGAGGAATGCATTTTATTTAGGGAAATGGGTGAGCCAAGACAGATAGAAAAAGTGGATAGAACAAAGAGACAATACAACTTAGGCTGAGGGGGAAAAAAAGCCTGTAGGACACTAAAGGTAAGATAAATTAACAGCAGCCTCATTTGGTCGTTCATTCATTGAATCATTCACTCAACAAGTGCCTCTGTAGAAAGCCCTGGACCACAGATGCTGCCTATTAATGACTGCACTGTGTACAAGGTGTTAGCATGGTATCAACGTTCAAAAGCAGCACAATTTTCCAGTTGCAATAGGATTGCAATTACTGCATAATATCCAACGAGATTCATTAAGCAGTAAATAAATGCTACTACCAGAAAGCCTCCAATGGCTCCCATTCCTCTTAAGGTTAAATGACCTCTAAGCCTTACATCACTGCCTGTTCCCCTAAGTCAGTCTCAACAACAAGCTCTTACTGCCCTTGCTGCCTTCGGCCTTACAGCCTGGTTATATCTGAAACACTCCTCAAACATAAACACCAACGACTCTGCCTCAGCCGTTCCCTCTGATGTTTGCTGGGTTCATCTTCATCACCAAGCTTTTGTTTAAATATCACCTCCTTTCTGAAACCTACCTTGCCTGCTCATTTAAGTTTGCAATTACCTTCCCTAACACCAGGTCTCCTGATCTTCCCTCATGCCTGCTCTTTTTTTTTTTATATAACATTTGGCATCTGAAAATGCCATGTAATTTATTTTGGCTCTGTGTATCACTTCTTCGTTCTCTAACATGTAAGCAGAGTGTTCTATCTATATCCACAATGGGTTGGACATACATCCCTCCAATATTCCAAGACAGTGAGGGATCAGCACAGAGCAGAGGACACAATAAGTATTATTTATTAAAATGAGCAATTTCAAAAAATAAAGCATTTTACTTTTAATTGGAACAGTTTTAACATCTTGTCCAAGCTGACTACAAGTGCTGGTCTCAGTGATCTTCTTACCCCAGATTCCTGAATGGTTGGGACTATAGTAAGGCCCACCACACCAAGCTTTTCAATATAATTTTTTTTCTCTTTTTTTTGGGGGGGTCCTGTTGTGGGGCCTGAACTCTGGACCTGAGTGCTGTCCCTCAGCTCTTCAGCTCAAGGCTAGCACTCTACCACTTGAGCCACAGTGCCACTTCCAGCTTTTTTCTTTTTGCTTATGTGG